TTCTAATTTACTGAGTATCTGAGTTACCCACAGAATGTGCAAAACCTGGATATCAGCCTCTGAGATGGTGTAAAAGTATCTCTTGAGCAAGCAAAACACAAACTCGACCAAGGTTTTAAAAGTCATAAATGGCAGGTATGGTTTCTGTTGCTTCGTTGATGGCCGTTCTGGCTCTCCGGGCAAAACCATATTCCAATTGTGACCCGAAAGAACATTTCAAATGGGTTTTGATTTTGTGCTTGGCTAGTTCCAAGCCGATTGAGCACACCTCCTTTAAGGTAATGGGGCATGAAATCCCATTCTTTTAAAATCTAGTCTGGAATTCAGAAGTTCTTTTTAGTTTGCATAACTTGACCCTGGCCGTGTGATTTTCTGCGTCAGATAAGGCAATAGCACTAGACCGAGAACGGCATTTAACTTCTAAAGCTTTAAAGGGATATCAGCTTGACTCAACTTAGAATAGAAATAGAATAGAATAGAATAGAATAGAATAGAATAGAATAGAACAGAACAGAACTTGGGAGTCCTGTTGTTGTCAGTGTGTGTGTGTGTGTGTGTGTTGCATTTTTTATTTGGGGTTTTACTTTTGTAAGCTGCCTGAAGTCACCAGGAGTGAATTGGGTGGCCATATAAATTTGCTTAAAAATTACAATTGCCACATTCTCAGAGACTCTTCCCATCCTGCTCACAATCTTTGTGAATTGTGGCCTTCTGGCAGAAGATACAGAACAATTAAAACTTGGACCACACGTTTTTCTGAACAGTTTTTATCCCAGAGCTATAATTGCACTCAACAATGAACTTAAATACCACCATCAGTGAGCTGTTGGACAGGATTACTTAGTCTGTTGTGTAGGTGTTTGTGTGCTTTTAGGTGGCAGGGAATTTTGGTAGGTGGGGAGGTGTTTGGGGATTGTCACGTGTGTGTGTGTTAGGTCTGGTCTCTGGGTGTTGTGTGAATTTCGTTGCATGTATACTGTGTATATACATACAATGACAATAAAGAATTCAAATTCAATTACAATACAATACAATATAACAATAGCAGTGGTGATAGTGTTGATGCTCGGATTTTAAAGATGGAGGCACTTCATTTACTCATGAAACAGATGTGTGGGTAGCTGTTTTCCCTCAAATGCAGGTAGTCCTCGACTTACGACCACAATTGAGCCAAAATTTCCACGGGTAAGCGAGACAGTTGTTAAGAAATGAGTTTTGGCCCATTTTTACAATCTTTCTTGCCATGGTTGTTAAGTGAACCACTATATTTGTCAAGTAAGTCGCCTGGTTGTTAAGCAAATCTGGCTTCCCCATGGACTTGGCTTATCCAAAAGGGTCATGAAAGTGGACGACATAACCCCGGGACCCTTTAGCCGTCATAAATATACAAGCCAGCATATTATCCAAGTGAGCAAACTTTGATCATGTGACTATGAGGATGCCGCAGCAGTCGGAAGTGTAAAAAACAGCCCTAAGCCACAATGGTAACTTTGACCCGGTCACTAAACGAAATAGTTGTAAGTCAAGGAATACCTGTACCACATAATCACACTATATCAGGCTGCAATTCCCATTTTCCAGTCCATAAACCCAGCAGGGCCTTCTAGGGGCCAAGAGGAAAGACAGAACATTCTTGGGCTGATGGCTTTGAAGTCTATTATTATTACTTTACTTTATTGTCATTGCACCTCATACAATGAAATTAAATGCCCTCTTCAGTGTACATTATGACTATAAAAATAAAACACAAACACACATTCTTTGCATTCTATACAACTGAATTGAAAACCCCTGATATTGCATTAATATTGCACTATGCAGTATAATTCAATAGAGTTACTGCCCTGGGATAGAAGCTGTTTTTCAGCCTATTTGTCCTTGTTTTTATTATCCTGTACGGTCTGCCAGATGGTAATAGTTCGAAAAAAGGCTGCCCAGGATGGGATGGATCTTTAAGGATGTTTTGAACTTTCTTAAGGCAGCGGGGGCTATAAAGCTCTTCCAAAGAGGGGAGAGGGTAACCCATGATCCTCTGGGCAATGACATTAACCCTCTGGAGCGCTGCCCTATCTGCCCCTGTGCAATTGGCAAACCAGGCACAGGTGCAGTAAGTTAAGATACTCTCTATGGTGCTGCGGTAGAAGGTCACCAGCAGTTTTTCATTCAGTTGTTTTCTGAGAAGTCTCAGGTAGTATAATCTCTGTTGGGCTCTTTTGACCAGGGCTGCAATGTGAGCACCCCAGGTCAGGTCCTCTTTTAGGGTAACACCCAGAAAACTTAAGACTGGCCACTTGCTCCATTCGGTCTCCACTGATAAGCAAGGGCTAGATGTCTGATCTGTTCCTTCTATAGTCCACTATAAGCTCCTTGGTCTTATTGGTGTTGAGGACCAAATTATTGTCTGCATGCTACGAAAGCCCAGAAATCTGTCCACTGAAATATTGTAGTAAGATTTGGGAAATCCAGTTCATCAGGCATGGAGTTCTTTGGCTGCAAACCCTGGAGGAATTTTGGTTTTCCCAAATGGCATCGGGTAAGGGTTGCTCCATCTACTGCGAAGTATAACATAGGTAATCCTCAAGTAAGGCCACACCTGGAATACTGCAACTAATACTGCATTCTATTCTATGTATTCTGCATTCTGTTCTATTCTATATTCTGCATTCTGTTTGCATTCTATTCTATTCTATATTCTATGCTACATTCTGTTTGTATTCTATATGCTATGTTGCATTCTGTTTGCATTCTATTCTATTCTGCATTCTGTTCTATTCTATATTCTATTCTGCATTCTGTTCTGTGCTGCATTCTGTTCTGTATTCTGTGCTGCATTCTCTGCATTCTATTCTATATTCTATTCTGCATTCTGTTTGCATTCTATTCTATATTCTGTTCTGCATTCTGTTCTATTCTATATTCTATTCTGCATTCTGTTTGCATTCTATTCTATTCTGCATTCTGTTCTGTATTCTATTCTGCATTCTGTTTGCATTCTATTCTATGTGCATTCTACTCTATTCTATATTCTGTTCTGCATTCTATTCTATGTATTCTGCATTCTGTTCTGCATTCTGTTCTATTCCTTTCCATTCCATTATATGGATTTTCAAAACCGACTCGGGATGTTTGATGGCTCATTGGGGCTTCTCAACTGCAGCGGTCTGTTGTTGACTGTGTTGTGACTTTTAAAAAGCTTTAGAATGGTTACGCTGCAGCTGGCACCATCTACTGGCTAAATGTTAGCACTGCTATCTAAAATGTATATCTGCATGTATGTATACATTTAGTGTTTTCGTTGTCCCTGCTTTTCCTCTAGCAATTCCAAAGGAGAAAAGAGTTAACTTTGCAGGCAGCAAATAGCAGTCCTAACACAGAGATATTTCGCAGTTGATTTTCTTTGCTGTTTGCCTGAAAAGCTTAAAGCGTTAGTGGGAACTCTCTTGTCGTGCATGTTTGCATCATTTCTTTTATTGGCGGAGGAATAAGCAGAAGAGCCCAGATGTGTTCGGGTGGCATTTCCCAGAATTCTCCTGGGCCCGTGATGGCAAACCTATGGCATGCATGCCACAGGTGGCACGCAGAGCCATTTGTGTGGGGCCTGTGAGCTCCAGCCAGACTTACCTGTACTGCGCATGCGTGCACGTCCCAGCTGATTTTTGGCCCATTTGAGGCTGTTTTTGCCCTCTCGGAGGCTCGAGGGAAGCCTCTGCAGCTTCAGAAGGCCGAAAAATGGGCCTTCCAGAAATACCAGAAATGCCGAAACTGGCCTGTTTTCAGACTCCCGAGGCTGCAGAGGTTTTCCTCAAGCCTCCGAGAGGACAAAAAAGGCCTCCCCTGGGCTCCAAAGGCCCTCTGGTGGCTGAAAACGGACACTTTTGGGCCCTCTGGAGGCTGAAAATGAGTATTTCCAGAAGGCCCGTTTTTCAGGCTCCGGAGGCTACAGAGGCTTCCCTCAAGCCTCCGGGAGGGCCTCAAACAGGCCAAAAATCAGCTGGGAGGCATGTGCATGTGCAGTGCAGGAAAGAGGGCGGGGTAGAGGTGTTGTACATGCATGCACGGGAGGGGGGACGCATTGCATTGTGGGTGCCGGCACGTGCACACTTTCGGCATACCACAACAAAAAGGTTTGCCATCACTGTCCTAGGCCAACAATGACATTGTGGTAGTTGGACCCGTCCACAGGACACCCAATCCGACATGTGAAGGAAACTTTAGAGAAAGCCATCATAAAACCCTTAGCCCTGTTCTTGATACCTACAAGAATGTAACTATGCTCTTTTTCGTGGCACCAATAAGGAGATTTGCCGTGGTTTCTTCCAGCAATTTTTTTTTTTAACTAAGGAATCTCCTGGTGGCCTCCGTTCCAAATGCTAACCAGGTCTGACTCTGTTTTGCCGCCTCCTGCTGCCAATTCTGCAAACTGCACACCCATTGCTCCAAAACACACTGGGGGGAGGCGGGAGAGGGGAATGTATATAGCCAGAGTTTGCTGGTCAGGAATTGTGTTTTTGATGTCCTACGCAGGGCTGGGATTCCACCGGTATAACAACCGGTTTGGTGATTGCACGCGAATGCGGGCTTTGTTCCGCAATACAAACAGCTCTACTACTTACCTTCTACAGCAGTCTCTGTGAAGAAAACAGCTGAGGCGCGGCAAACCACTTGGCCACGTGGATCAGCTATGCTGTAAACAAAGGAAGTAAAAGGATAGGAAAGAGGAGGGGCGAGCGGGCAGGCCTACATGCCCGTCGCAGCGCATCGGTTCAGAGACAGCTGATGTTCGGAGCAAGGGGTTCGCCCGAACCGGTGGAATCCCACCCCTGGTCTTACATCATGGCCTTACACACACAAACACCCCCCCAAAAGCCTTCCTGACTCCCTTTCCTTCACGTACGCGGCCACGATTTCCTGGTCCCTTCTCTTCCAATTGAAATAGCCCAGGTTCCTCCCGCCAGTCCTTCCTGCGGAACTAACCCGCGTTTCCCGGTTTCTCTTTTTAGGTCTTCCTGAACAGTACTACAGCCTCACCTGGTTCCTTAGTCCAATCCTGGGCCTGATTTTTACCCCCTTAATCGGTTCGGCCAGCGACCGCTGCACCCTCAGCTGGGGACGCCGACGGCCGTTCATTCTCGCCCTTTGCATTGGGGTCCTCATTGGCGTCGCCCTTTTCTTAAACGGATCCGTTATTGGTAAGTGAAGCCCTACAGATTTCAGAGTAAGCCCCTTTGGGGGCAATGAAGACCCTCCCTTGATGGCTGGAAGCGAAGGGATGGGGCAGTGGTGTGATTCAAATTTTTTTACTACCGGTTCTGTGGGCGTGGCTTGGTGGTCATGGTGTGGCTTCTTGGGTGGACTTGTTGGGCACGGCAGTGGAAGGTTATTGCAAAATCCCCATTCCCTCTCCACCCCACTAACCTGCTTTCCAGCTCCATTCTCCTATGCAGGGCAACCAAAAAGGACCCAGCCAATCACCTGGGACTCAATGGGAGGCGGAGATTAGATGGGGGCGGGGCCAGTCAGAGGTGGGATTTGCCAATTCTCCAAACTACTCAAAATTTTCGCTACTGGTTGTCCAGAACTGGTCAGAACCTGCTGAATACCACCTCTGGGATAAAGGGACTTAAATCTGTCCCCCAAAAGTGGACATCTCCAGATGTGCTGGGTGGATTTGGAATCGGCTTAGAGGTAGTCCTTGGCTTACGACCACAATGGAGCCCAAAATATATGCTGCTAAATGAGAAATACCAAGTGAGTTTTGTTTAAGCGAATCGCTGCAGTTGTTAAATTAGTAACACCGTCATTAAGCGAATCTGGCTTCCCCACTGACTTTGCTCGTTAGATGGTCGCAAAAGGGGATCACATGACCCCAGGACACTGCGGCCGTCGTAAATGTGGACCCCCTGTCAAGCATTTGAATGTAAATCACGTGACCATGGAGATGCTGCAATGGTCAGAAGGGTGAAAAATGGCCGTAAGTGATTTCTTTCAGTGCCGTTGTAACTTTGAATGGTCACTAAATGAACTGTTGTAAGTCGAGGAGTAGCTGCACTAATTACTACTTTGAGCATTTATCTCTAGGAATCTATTTATATACATTCCTAAAATAGTTTAAGCATCTAAATACTTTAGGAATTTATCTTTAGGAATCTATTTTATGTAAAATTCCTAAAATAGTTTAAGAATCTGAATACTTTAGGAATTTATCCCTAGGAATTTATTTGATATAAATTCCTAAAATAGTTTAGGAATCTGAATACTTTAGGAATTTAGG